GTGATGTTTGCCTGGCACACATGTGGCCCTGGCTCAGTCCCTCATGCCACAAGCAAAACAAAGCAGACTTTTCAAAGTGTTGCTGGGACTGGGCTTTCCCACTTCTACTTGAAAAACAAAACAAAACAAAGCAAAACAGACTAACATGAAACAAAGGAGACTTAATGGCCACTAAGTTTTAACTGTGTCTGTCATTACAAGTGTGTAGGGACAGTTCACTTAGGAGTTGGAATCCACTAAACACTGAACAGACACTTTCTTTGTTTCATGTAATGTGCATAGACCTCTTTGAACTTGTATTTTTTCTTAATAATTGGACTTGGCCTTATAAGGTTCTTATAATGATTATGCAAAATGGCAATTTTTTAATTAAAGACTTATTTTTATTTTTATGTGCACTAGCATTTATGTGTGATGGCATCAGATTCCTGGAACTGGAGTTACAGTAGCTGTGAGCTGCCATGTGGGTGTTGGGAATAGAATCTGTGTCCTCTGGAAAAGCAGCCAGTGCTCTTAACCACTGAGCCACCTCTCCAGTTCCCTAAAATGGCAAATTTTAAAAAGTGTCTGCTTTTTCAATAAGCAGTTCACTCCACACTGGTGAAAGTGATGGTAGGTATTGTTGGTGAAGGCGCCAACCAGCCTTAACACCAGTACACCTGACTGACTTCTGCACTCCTTTGGAACCTAAGCCACTTTGCTCTGTCTGGCAAGAACATAGTGGTCACTGCAGACCACAATAATTGAAGAATATAAAGTGCTGATATTTTCCGCCGGGCGTTGGTGGTGCACGCCTTTAATTCCAGCACTCGGGAGGCAGAGGCAGGCGGATCTCTGTGAGTTCGAGGCCGGGCTGGACTGATAGCCTCCTAAACAATACAGAGAAACCCTGACTCGTAAAAACCAAAAAAAAAAAAAAAAAAAAAAAAAAAAAGTGCTGATATTTGTGGAGAATAACCTACATGTGATATACTTATGTTAAGCCCTTTGCAGACATCAACTCTTGTCAACTTTAAAGAACTTAATGGGGTAGATTCTATTCTCAGCCACAGAGTAAATACATTTTATTTAAACATGTGAATTAAAACTATAGTGTCGGGAGGTTCAGTCACCTAAACCATCAGATGACAGCACTGAGCTCAGGTAGTTTGATTCAGGAATTTGCTTTCCAACCATGTCTTATTTTCAGCTTATAAATATACACCTCGGGCTTAGGATGTAGCTTAGAAGTAGAACACAACAGTCATCATTCATGAGAGGTTCTGGGTTAAATCCTTAACTACTCACCCTACCCCATAAAAAAGAGATAGGCACCCACATGCAGAATCCAAAGGGATCCAAGTTCATTCTTACAAGAGAAGTTTGCTCACAGTGTACAGTTGGCAGCACTGGAATTCACATACAGAAGAGTGGTTTGTAGCCAGGGCAGACCGCACACCTCCACTCATTAAAATAGGTCCTGTGCTGATCATTTTAAGTGACTTGGTGATAGGGAATCAGATTAAACACAGTGGTAAAAGGGTAATTCTTTTGTTTGTAGAACTTGAGATACCTATTTATTGTTAGTAGCATGTATGTGTAGTAGAAATTTGTTTTTCTTTTCTTCTTTTTTTTTAATACTGAGAATTGAATGTAGGGCATGTACCCACAACAGGCAAGTATTCTACCACTAAGCCAGATCCTCAAACCTTTTCTTACTTTTTAAAAACTTTGAAATACGACTGGGTGATGGTGGCGATCACCTTTAATCCCAGCATTTGGGAGGTAGAGGCAGGCGGATCTCTGTGAGTTTGAGGCCAGCCTGGTCTATAGAGTGAGTTCCAAGATAGCTAGGGCTGTTACACAGAGAAACCCTGGGGGGGGGGGAGATTGAAATACCATCTACTTAAATTACCCAAGCTAATTTTGTATTTTCTGATTAACTGGGATAACAGGTTTTTATTACCAGGCCATTCATCCTTTCTTTATTCCTTCCTGCTTTTTCCCCCCCTATATACCTTCCTTCCATCCCTTTTACTCTTTTTTTTTTTTGTAAATACATGTGTATGTGACATGTGGACATCCAGAGACCAGAGGAGGACACTGGGTACCCTGTTCTAGCATTCTCCTCCTTATTCCCTTGAGACAGGGTTTCCACTGAACCTGGAGCTAGGCTGGTAGTCAAAACGCCCCATGGATCATCCTGCCTGCACCCCAAGTAGTGCTAGGGTTACAAGTGGCTTTTTATGTGAGTGTGGGAATTTGAAGTTGGGTCCCTGTACTAGCACAGAGAAAGTAAGCTCTCACTTTCTGATCCCTCTCCCTAGCCAATGACAGTTTTTTTTCTCTGTTATTTTCTAATTGGATCCAAGGCTGCGAAAAGTTTTATAGTTATTATATGCAAAACCAGATTATTCATCATAAATCTTGAGCCAGCCTGTAGTGTCACCAGCAGTATCCACAGAGGAGTGAACTGTCTCCCTGTCTGCCAGAACTGGCTTTTCAAATTAGATTTGTGGTTGCTAGTTTAATAGATGAATCATTATATGGTAAAGTTTCTTTGTTTTGATTTCCTTTTATGTTCTTGGTGAATTCAAACCCTTCCCACATAATTAGTATGTATTTGCTGTATGCATGAGTGTGTGTGTATGATATGTGTACATGCCTATGTGTGTACATGTGGAGGCCAGAGGTTCAAATGAGTTGTTCTTTAGTGCTCTCCACTTTTTTTTTTTTTTTTTTGAGACAGAGACTCAGTGTGTGGTTCTGAGTGACTTAGAACTCACTGTGTAGACCAGGCTGGCCTCAGACTCATAGAAGTTTGCCTGCCTCTGTCTCCCTAGACTGGGATTAAGGTCGTGCACCACCATGCCTGCTGTCTTCACTTTATTTTTTGAGAGGGTCTCACTGAACCTGAAGCTCACCAATTCAGCTGGACTGGCTGGACAGCAAGCCCCCATGAGATCCCCTTGTCTGCCTCCTCAGAGCTGGGATTACAGGTTCATGACCCGGTGCTTGTCTTTTTAGGGATGCTGGGGATCTGAGCTCAAGTCCTCAAGCTTGTGCAGCAAGCATTTTACCCACTGAGTCAACTCCATAGCCTGTGCATTTCCTTCCTTCCTTTTCCCCTCCCCCTTCCTCCTTTCTTCTTTCCTTCCTTCCTTTCCTCCTTTCTTTCTCCTCCTGCTGCTTCCTCCCCAGTGCCGGGATTAAAGGTTTGCACCACCATGCACGACTTCTTTCATCTTTTATATATATACTTTATCCTTTAGGAAATCTGACCTGGACCAGCAAGATGTTTCATCTGGTACAGGATACTTACCTCCAAGTCTGATGTCCTGGATTGTATCCCTAGAACATAATTGAGCAGAGCAAACTAGTTTCCACAGTTGTCCTCTTACTTCCACACATACACTGTAGCACATCTGTGCACATATACTTACACACAAATAAGCAAATGTAACTGAAAAATATAAAAAGAAAACCTGAGGGAGGGAAAGGGAAAGGGAGAGGGACCTGGAACTGACTTGTGAAGCAACCTTGTTTCTTATCTAAATTTAAACTGGAAAATAAAATAAAAAATATTTAATATATAAAAAAAGAAAACCTGAGCCTGAATGCGACAAGGCATTAATATTTAAACTAGGTATAAAATGAAAAAACAAAAAATAGAATAGATGATAAATGTTTGATAATTGTATCATTTCAACTGTTTTGCATATTTGAAATTTTTTAAAATAAGAAAAAAGGGAATAGGATACAATTTGTAATATATTGGTTTAGATACTCTTGACTTTCCTCTTTAGTTTCCTCAATTATAAAATAGGGTAATTGGCCATTAAGATGGATCAGCCTGTAACGCATTTGCCTGACAACCCAAGTCAGATCCCCTGAACCACAATGGAGGAAGAGTCCTCATGTCCAACATGGTCTTCTGACTTCCACACCCATAGCATGGCATGCCTTGCTTACATATCACACACACATGCATATATGAATGTGCATGCACACACACACACTGATAATAATGATAAATAAAACATTAAAATAGAATTATAGTACATGTTGAAAAGACATACAGTCTAATGAGAGTTCAGTAGATGTAGTTATTTAGTAATCAAATGGCAATGTGGTCATGGAAAGGACTTACTCACCAGCTTGCAAATATGAGGATTGATGAGGGGAAAGGAAATTACTTCTTTTCTAGAATCAGAGGAACTGTAAAGTTAGTTTGTAATTTCCTCTTTTGACACCATCAACCTGCCTCCATTCTGCTGGTAGTTTCTAGAGACTGTAAAATGTAGATAGTGGATAAGCTAGTGTGTCATCAGAACCAAAGGGAAAGATTGTTTTTCTGTTCTCTCAGGAGATACAGGGTCAAAAGAAGGGATGCTGCATTTGGCTCCCTGGTGAGTCACTGGTGAAAATGATAGTTTGAGCCCATCTGGTGCCCTCCCCCAACTCTGCTCTTCCTTTGACCTTGGCTTGGAGCCTAGTTTCCAAATTAGAGAGATGCTTACAGTGTTATGATCTGATAGCACGCAGAAGAAGACAGAAAGCCCCAGTACGTACAGCATCGGAGTCCACAGTGGAAAACAAGCTGAGCTTGTACCCTTTGTGGTGATGGTTATTTGTAACTTTAGCACTCAGGTTACTGAGGCAGGGGCATTGTCCTGAGTTTGGGGCCAGCTTGATAACATAAAGAGATCCAGGCCAGATTGGGCTACATAGCAAAAAAACAAAACAAAGCTACAGAATAGCAAAAGAAAATAAATTAAAAACTTGAGACTGTGATGCTGGTGAGGGAGACAGAGGTTGGGGGTTAAGGGAGCTCCTGGTAAAGTTTTCTTTTCCCTCTTCCTTTTTGTTTGGGATTTTCTCTCTCTCTCTCTCTCTCTCTCTCTCTCTCTCTCTCTCTCTCTCTCTCTCTCTCTCTCTCTCTCTCTCTCTCTCTCTCTCTCCTCCCTCCCCTCTCCCCCCCCTCAAGTCTCCTACATGTTTTATTAGACTTCAAAGCATCTTAAAATATGGAACACTTGACAAATGTGCATGTGGTCGCTGCACAGGGGCCATGCTAATCTCTGTATTGTTCCAGTTTTAGCATATGGCGCTGCCAAAGAGACATTTTCTTGGAATTCTTAAAACCTTGGGTCCTCTTCTCTTTCACAATGACAGTAACGGACACTAGGGAAATACCTTGTAGGCGCTCTTTTGACTTTTCTTTTTTCTTTAATACAATCTGACCTTTTGTCAGAATTGAAGTTAAGCCTGTGATTGCCATATTTTTCTATGTCTTGGGATAGGTCATTTCGTGATGCCTCACAAGGGAGTCAATACCATCAGGCTTTTCTTTTTCTGTTTTTTTTTTTTTTTGGTTTTTTTATGAGACATGGTTTCTCTGTATTGTTTTGGAGGCTGTCAGACCAGCCCGGCCTCGAACTCACAGAGATCCGCCTGCCTCTGCCTCCTGAGTGCTGAGATTAAAGGTATGAGTCACCACCGCCTGGCCCATTAGGTTTTTCTTGACAGCTGCATTTTTCCCAGGCCTTCTTCAGGAGGAGGGGCCCTTATTTAGAATTTTTACACCCTGTTCCATTTTCCTAGCAGCTTTCTGTTGTTTGTTCTGCATCCAAGTCTCCAGAGCTGAGGTAGCAGGGCTGTTTGCTTTTTCCTTTTTACAAATAGGCAAAATGTAAGGCAGAACTTATTCATGTATTTATGATTCACTATACTCCTGATCCTTTTGCCTCAATAGTCAGCTATTCTAGCTTTCTTATGTTTCAGGCTACAGAGAGACCCTGTCTCAGAAAAAAAAAAAGAGCATGGTGGTGGCACATGCCTTTAGTCCCAGCTCTTAGGAGGCAGAAGCAGGCAGATCTCTGTGAGTTTGTAAGTTCAAAGTCAGCCTGATCTAATGGTGGTGGCTCATACCTTTAGTCCCAGCTCTTAGGGAGGCAGAAGCAGGCAGATCTCTGTGAGTTTGTAAGTTCAAAGTCAGCCTGATCTACAGAGTGAGTTGTGAGTTCTGGGACAGCCAGGAATGTTTCACAGAGAAACCCTGTCTTGAAAACCAAAAAAAAAAAAAAAAAAAAAAAAAAAAAAAGTTGAGCAGTGCCTAAGGAACAGCACCATGATTGTCTTCTACATTCATGTATACACAACTATACATACACACATGTGTGTGCACAGTCACAAAGACAAACATACATACAAACAAATAGTAGGAAATGCAAATTTAAAATGAACTTTAAAATGTAACCTTTTTCTTGTATATATGTGCATGTATTTTTGTTTACATGTGTGGAAGGTAAGTGTGTATGCAGATGCACATGATCACATGTATGTCTGCTTGTAGGTGCCAGAGGATAGCATTGAATGATTTCCTTGATCTCTTCCCACCTTAATTGGCACAGGGCATCTCATTTGAACCCATAGTTCCCCAATTTTGCTAATACACTGGACACTTGTTGCAGGTTTCACTTGTCTACATGTCCTGAGTGATGGAATTACAGGCATAAGCCACCTGTGGGCTCTTGTTTTAAGAATCCAAGAGCTTAAATATAAAACCATTGTTTGGTTTCAACTCCCTTTAAAGATTAGATTCTGATAACTCACTTTTCCCTTTTCATGTCATGAAAGAAAATAGTTCCTATGGAAATGTTTTAGAGCATTAAGGAGAGAGAAATTAATTTCTCACCTGTTAGAACTTGAGTTAGTTTGGTGGAACACTAGTACATATGTACAAGGATCTAGGGTCAATGTCTATCTCTGAAAAAGCCCTGTCCCTTCTGTGTTAAGGTTTGGTTTTTCTATTATGAAAAGCCCATAACAAGCAGTTTGAGAATTATTGTCTCTATTTATGTATGTTAGTAATAGTGGGACTTTTGGGATATTTTAAGTATTGTTTAAAATTTTCAGTTTGAGGTGTATATATATCCATGAACCAAACCTGGCTACAGATAGGTTTAGTTCATCTTAGTATTTAATTCTAATTTCATTTAATTTAATCTTAGAAAGTAAGTAGTAAGTGGGGTTAGGGAAATGATTCAGTGGGTAAAGCACTTGACCTGTAAGTGGAGAGACTTAAGTGGAAGGACTTAAATTTGGGTCCTCAGAACTCATATAAATTCAGGATGGACACAGCAGAACACATATAATCAATCCAGCACTTGGGACACAGAGTAAGGGAGTCCCTGAAACAAGCTGGCTAACTAGACTGGCCAAGCCATGAGCTCAGGCTGAAGTGAAAGACCTGTTTGAATATAATATATAAGGTGGAGAGTGACAGAAGACATCTAATGTCAGCCTCTGCCTTCACATGCACAGAGGTGACCCCACCCCCTCGATGTAAGCACACATATACACATACCACATGAAAAGTTGTATTTTTCAAAATTTACATTAAAAATTCTCATTGCTGGTTTTTAAAAATAATTGATTTATTTTTCATTTTGTGTACATGTTTATCTGTATTTTGCCTGCATGTTTATCTGTATAGATTGTCAGATCCCCTGGAACTGGAGTTACAGACAGTTGTAAACTGCCATGTGTGCTGGAAATTGAACATGGGTTCTCTGGAAGAACAGCCAGTGCTATTAACCAATGAGCTACCTCATTAGCCCCTGATAGAACTTTTTGTGATGATGGAAATGCTTACTTACCTAGTCGGTACATAGTTACATACATGTAAAATATAGTAGTCACACGATATACAGTAATCACAAAATACATCAGTCAAAAAGTACAATAGGCATATGACATATTTGTAAAGTGTTAGTGGCAGATCTCTGAGTTGGAGGCCAGCCTGTTCTACAGAGTGAGTTCCAGAACAGCCAGGGCTACATAGAGAAACCCTGTCTCCAAATACCCTCTCCTAAGTGCTAGTAAGACTAAAGAATTGAATTTCATTTGTATTTTTCATTAATTTAAATAGTCACAGGTGGCTTAGTGACAGCACATTGGGGGGGGGAGGGGATGAGATAAGAAGAGTAAAGCTGTATAGACTCAAGATTAAAGAAGAGCCCTGGGGTGGAGCAGGTTCCTTGCTGTTTTACGTCTTGTTTGTTTTGTGACAGTCTTGAACTTGTGTGCAGATAATAGAACACATGTGATATGGAAGTGGAAGGGAGAATTTTCCAGGGACAGTAAGAACTAGCTAGAGATGGACAGGTGTACAAAAGAGGCAGCGGAGATATACATTAGAGCAAAGTACAGTGACACATGTGAACGCGCCATAGCAGAAGGTGGGTGTGATGGTGCATACCTGGGTCATGAGCCTGTGGAGAGAGGCAGGTTCGGTTCTCAGCACCCATATGTTGCTCATAAACACCCACAATTACAGTTCTAAGGGAGCCGGCACCTTGCTCAGTACCAGGCATGTGCACAGCACACATACATATATGCAGACAAAACACTGATACATATGAAATAAATCTGTAAAAAAAGAAAAATGCCACAATGAAACCTATTCTGGATTTTAAAAATAATTGTAGTTTTGCATGTTATATAACTTTAGTTTTACTTTTATCTTGTTTTATTTTTTTGAGACAGGGTCTCACACTGTAGCCCAAGCTGACCTGGAACTCATTTCACTAGCTTAGTCTGGCTTTGAACTCTCAGCAATCCTCCCATGTCAGCCTTCACGTATCAGGATAAATAGTTATGATGCACCATGCACAGTTCTGTTCCAGAACATGATGCAGGTGAAATAAAGATTTTTCTTGTGTAAAGCTTCTTCCAGGTAGTCTCCCTGTGTGGTCTGGCCGCCAGTGCTTTTGAACATGTTCCATGTTGTTAGGTGTAGTACGCTGTTCTCGGCTCACCTCAACCTCCTAGTGTACTATGTGGGTACATGACACAGTATACACAAGGAGGTCAGAGGACAACTTTACCAGTCAGTTCTCTCCTTCTCTCAAATGGGTCTTGGGAGTCAGACTCAGGTCGTCAGGCTTGGCCACCCTGGGTTTTTCTTGTAATTAGCACCTTTAGAAAAATAATTTGAGATTATAAAAGTCTGTTTCCATTCAGAATTTCATCCACTAATATTTTACTTATTTTTTGAGACAGGTCTCATTGTGTAGTGAAGCGTTAATATAGTTAATTTTTATCAATAAAGAATTGGGAGTCAGATATTGGGTTAAGAACCTGAAAGATCAGAGAACAGGGGGTAGCTGCTAGTTGCTCCTACCTCTTCAGTTCCTCTGTTCAAAAGGGGCTGAGATTCTCTCTCTGTCCCACCTTACTACTTCATGTCTCCTCTCTGTACAGTCCTCCAAGCCTCTATGGTTAGCTAGTGCCTACCTCTGCCCTCTGAAAGCTTTATTTGTCAGAACACAATCAAAATATCACACAATATTTACCCCGTTTGGTTTAAATAAAAACCAAATGGTTTAACTAACATAGCAAACTATATACAGTAAGTACAATAACCATATACAAGTATATATATAGACAATAATAGCATTAACAATATTTAGTTCATTTGCATTTGGCAAATTCAGAGAAAATACTCCATATCTATCCTATGTTGGTGAATCCAAAGTCTTGTACCTAATTTATTTTCTGTCCTAACTTGCATTACTAACCCAGAAACTATCTTTTGTCTCTCAACCTTATACACTTTATACATCTTTTGAGTTTCTTCTCTGAATTTGGTAACAAGGAAAACTATATCTAGTCTTCAATTCTATCAGAGACCTGAAAAGGATATACTATTACTTGAGAAAACAGGAAGTGCATTGCAAACAGCTTTCAAAACTAAGAATTAACAGAAACAGCTGGCTGCCTGGATAGTCATCCAAGTTCATTTGTAACATTGGGGCATTCATCATTGGCTTATAGGCCTAGAATATCTGACAAACTTTTGTGTGAAGCAGGGTTTTTGAAGGACTCTCCTGCCTTGTCTTGGCAAAGTTTGGCAGTCATGTTTTCGTGTATCCTGCTTGTCCAATTTGGACAGCATACGGCCAGAAGTCAAGGCAAGGACTGTTTCTTGCCCAGTGGCTAATGTTTGCCACAAATAAAGTAAACTCTGTATGTAGTTTCTGTGATACCCATCATCTTCTCTGAAGTAGATTGGCACTGTCAGAAGCAGGTGTGTCTCATTGTCATAACAAAGAAGAAC